CACGGGAGGGCCCTGCACCGGCCCCGCGCCCCGGAACAGCCGGTAGTAGCCGTTTTTTTCCTCCCTCTTCTCCCTCTCCCTCGCCTCTTTCCGCCCGGCTTTGTGTGAAGTTTGCGGCACATTGCAGATGAGCCCTTAGCGGCGAGAGGAGCCTATTGTTCCCCGCCAGGAACTGCTTGCTGGGGCTGTGCTGGCTTTTGCCTTTGGAGCTGCCTCTTGCAGTACCGGAACCGGCCTCCGGGGCCCGCTGTGTCGCGCTCTCGTCCAGGCAGAAGCACGGCGGCCTCAGATCTTTTTGTCTGAGCGAGAAGAGAAGTGAATCCCGCTGCCGCCGCCACCGCCGCCGCCGCCGTAGCTCTACAGTGTGTGTGTGTAAGGGAGCGAGCGAGGGAGCGAGCGAGCGAGGGAGGGAGATCGCATGGAGCCGCGGCTGTAACACACACACACTGTCAATACCTCACTCCGGCTCCCCCCCCCGCCCCACCACAACAGTAACCCAATTCATTGTGTGATCCAGCAGCACCATGTTGAGTCTCATGTGCAGGCTGGATCGGCTGGGTTTGTGGTGCTGAGAGAGGCAGCAGCCGCGGGAGGAGGAATTACTGAGAGGTGCCCCTCTCCCTCCCTGCCTCTTCGCCCGTGTGTTGTGTGGAGACAGGACTCGCAATTACCACACTCTCGGGGCTCCCTTATTCCTTTTAAACTTTTTTTTAAACAAGCCCCTCTCCATGGCTGATCCCCGGCCGAGCACGGGCACCTGGGTCTCTTAAAGACAAGGAGGAGCCGGGGATTGTTGTTGTTGTTGTCGGCCGTTTTTTTTTTTTTTAATTGGATTTTTTTTTTACGAGAACCTTTTTTATTACAAAAATGGCAAATTCGACGGGTAAAAACCACGCAGACCAGCGGAGAAAGGGACTCGCTTTCCTGGACGAGCTGCGGCAGTTTCACCACAGCAGAGGGTGAGGAAAATGGGGAGATGGAACGGGAGGGGGGGAGGCTTTTAAATCGACCAGATCCAACTTCCAGCCCCTTCCCTGAAGGACACGGCAGCCCCAGCGAGGGGAGAAAAGGGGGCAGAGCTGACAAGTTGTGGTGTTTTGTGTGTATCTCCTTTGGCAGGTCTCCTTTTAAGAAGATCCCCGTGGTGGGTGGGAAGGAGCTGGATCTTCACGCTCTCTATACCAGAGTCACCACTTTAGGCGGATTTGGGAAGGTGAGTGGAAGTTTTAATTTGGGTTTCCCTCCTACTAACCTCTTCCCAAAAGTCTCCTCTGACCCCCGGGGGTGGCGGGGGGAGCCGGGGTGGCCGGGAACCGTCCTATTTAAAGCCGGTTAGAGAAGGTGGGGGGTGGAAGGAGGAAGCGAACAGATAGGCAGGTTGGTGGCTCGGCCTTGTCGGCGGAGCGATGAAGGGGGACCCGGGGGTACGGCGCGCACCCCACTCCTGCCTCCTCCGCCTCTGCCGGACCCCCTCGCCCATGCCCCCCTCCCGCGGGAAGGCGAGGGGGGGAGCAGGGAGCTGCTGGGCGGCGAGAGCAGGCTTCTTTCGGCTGTGGTGGCAGCTCTGTGCGTGTCTCTCTTGCAGAGGGAGAGACAGAGGAGAGACTCTGAGTGCAGTTTTAGTGCAACTCAAAATTAGCGGGCATGTTTAACATCGATAATCGGCACGGAGCATGGGCTAGGGAACGATCCTCGCAGCCGGGGGGGGCCGGGCGCTGCCCTCCGAGCCCTTCCCGGGGAAAAATAACAAAAGGGGCACCCAAGACGGTGTGTAATCAAATAGCCATCTTTAGGCTTCAAGGCTGGGGACAGAAATGTAGGCCTCAAAAGAAAGGCCTCTCTGTGTCTGTGGATCTGTGTTGGGGGGACCCCCCGGGCCGGCGCCCCCGCGCCCCGCAGCCCAGGGGGCGCCCCCCGCCAGCACTTCCCTGCATTATTTTAAACTTCTTTGGGTTTTTAACGGACCGCGTTAGGATTTAAAAGGGGGCGACAGAGGGACTCCCGATTGGTTATTGTCCAGGCAGTAAAAACAAAAACAAACAAACCCCAAAACAATACCACCACTCCCGGCCGTTCCCCCCGAAAAAAATAATGTGTATATTACAAAATAAATGCAGTAAAAGACCCCTGAGAAGCGGGATTATTCCCGAAAGGAGAATACTACCGACTGTCAGTAAAATATATAGTCCTAAATCCCATATACATTCATGTTTGTTTCTTTTTATATATTTATCTATTTGCTTCATGGCAGCCTGTGTTTTTTTTGTGATGTTCGCTGTCAGCAACATGTTTACGTGTACGTTGTGTATCTCGGCTTGTGTGTTGTTTTTGACAGGTATCAGAGAAGAATCAGTGGGGAGAAATTGTAGAAGAGTTTAACTTTCCCAGAAGTTGTTCTAACGCTGCCTTCGCTTTAAAACAGTATTACTTGCGGTGAGTGCTATCAAGCTGTTGCACTAGTATTTTTGTGTGCGGGGTTATATTTAGTTTTCAGTGTGTGCAATAATAAAAATATCCCCACTCTTTTAAAATGCTATAAAATAAAGCAGAAAAAAACCCTTTTAATTCCTTTTTCGTCTGGTGCAGTGATCAGTTAAAGGTGATTCTGTTTTGTAGTTATTTTTATTTTACATCTGCAAGCCTTAAACTTTGAAGGGATCCCAAGTACACAAACAGTATATGTCAGAGGCCATTTTTTTTGATTGTTTTAGAATGACGGTACTAAAGGACTGTTACTAAGAGATCATGTTATTGTAGTTATAGAAACTTAGGTTAATATTTGAAGCCCTGAAATGTGTTGATATATGTAAATTTGTTTACTGTTTAGTGGGGTCAGATGTGGAATAAAAATGCATCTGCAGGAAGGTAGACTGTTTTGCACAAATTATATTGTTATCAATTACTAGCAGCATATATTATTATTTTCTATTTTAGAGTACAAAGAGCTAAATAATCTTTTTATTACTTGAAAAATAATAAATGTCTGCAGGTTTTAAAAATAAGATTGCATTCCTTGGAAATTATACAGATTTTTTTTTTGTGATGCAGGTTATTTTTCATTGTAGCATGGAGTTCATATTGAATATTTTAAATTACTGTGTAAGGTACTATTAATTTACTAGATTGCTTCTTAAAATAAATTTTTATTAAGTCTGGGTGATTCTCTGTGGAAAAGATTTTTAAATGATTGTGTACATAGTTGTTTTAGATGCTGTATATATGGATACTTACATCTCATTTAGAATGTAGTTATGTGTATGTTGGTTAAGGAATGTAAATTTTTGTTTCTGAATTATAAATATGATGTTTTTCATTGCAGTTAATGATAACATAGATGTGCAGTATGTACAAATTAAGTATGGGCTTTTGGATTTCTGTTTTGGTGAGCTGAGTACACACAAGCTTTATCTGTCTCTAGTTTGGCCTTCTGAATTAGGAAATGCAGTAATTGTACAGGTGCACTTTCTATTGGTTGTCCTAGATTGACTTCCAGCTTGAAGCTGTAGAGTTCATAGCACAGTGGAGCAGTTATTGAGTTACAGTGATGTCTGGAAAACCTTAGTCAGATATTTGTAGTTACTGAAATTTTGGTGGTTTTTTTTGGTGGTGGCATATGATTATTTAGGATCCAGGTTAAGAAAAGAAACTACTATTGTTAATACCTTTGGTAGAGTTTATGATTGGTGGCAGGCCTAGAAATTAAGTCGGAAGCTTGCTTTAGGATATCCTTTCCTCTTTTTTTTTTTTTTTTTTCCCCTTCTCTCCTACATAGTATTGAGACAGTGTTGCTAAAGATTTGTCACATCACAGAAGGCAGTTTTTGCTTCTTGAGTTTTTCTGTTGGACCATGTAATTTGTTAGTTGACTAGATTTTACATATAATTTGCAAAATTATTTTTTTTACCCTTTTATTTC